AAAAAAAAAAAAAAAAAAAGTGCATGTGGAGAGGGAGCAGTAGCCAGTAGAGAGGGGCTTGGAAGTGCTTGTGCCACCTGCAGTGTCCTGCTGTTCCCAAGGCTTTCCTGGGGTGGAAGCAGAGCACTGTCCTCTTAGACTGACTCTGTGAGCAGCCCCTGGCTGCTGGGAATTCTGCACCCCTGACTGAGCCAGATCCGGCAGCAAAGCAGGGAGAGGGTAGGGACTGGGCTGGGAGCAGGTTTGTGTCTTCAACCCCAGCCACTACTGGTGACCTCTTGGTCAAAGAGCTCCTAGTCAACTGTGTTCATCTTACCAACCAGCAGAACAAGGGAGGGAAATAAAAAGGCTCCCTGCAATTGAGGCATAAATAGTATGAGTCTCCTCCCAGGTCACACAGGAAAGCTGCTTACTGGATATTTTTCCAGGGGCTCCATGAGAAGGGCGTCGCCGAAGATTAGCCGGCAATACTCTGCCATCTTGGCTTGCTGCTTTGGGCTAAAGGAGAAAAAGAAGGAAAGGAATCAAGAGCTCAGACAGGGTGGCTTTTTGTTATCCATGGCAGAAAGAGCTAAGTCCCTAAATCCCACCCTCAAGACCCATTGTTATCATTCGAAATTCCTATGCTGATGGAGGTGGATTTCAGTAATACACAGGTGGACAGTGACAGCCGGTGCACACTGGGGATGTTGGCTGGGTGAAGCTATTTTTAACCCTGACCTGCATAGATACTGACAGAGAGGAAGAGGGAACAGCAGGTCATTTGCCTGTCACTGAATTCTTGAAATTCCCCGAATTAGAGACTTCCTTCTCTTTCATTCCCTGTTTCTGAGTCAATTGCAAGGCACTTGTAGGCGGAGAATCTCCTGGGGAGAAGAGGACAAAGCAGAGGGGGCTTGTGGAGGGGTCCTACAGGAAAGGCCACACAGCAGGCACCTTGGGGGCAGGGTCTGCAACTCTTCTGTGCATGTGGCAAAGGAGGTGTCTGCAGAGAGCTGCCAGCAGGAACCCAAACTGCTGGGAACAGGCCAGAGTCTGAGGTTCGAGGAGCTGAGCTCTGGGCTTTGAAGGGTTCCAGATCTATAAAACCAGGAGGATCAGAACAGTTCCTGGAAAGGGGCAGAGGATGCTGAGAAGGTGAACTGCAGTCATGGATACAAAGGCCTTTGAAACGGTGGGAGTGTGCATGCGTCAGATGATTCCAGGTTAGAAGGCAGAGTCTGCAGCCTGGACCGAAAACTTTGCCTGCAGCATGCGCAACCACAGAGGGACGGATGGAGGGGAACAGCCACACCCTTCCAATCCTCCTGCTTCCCACATTTTCCTTTTTTTTTTTTTCAAAGTTTTATTGATAAACAGATAGCAATGAGACAGTTTCAAATCAAATCGGAAGTACAGTTTCAACAAATAATACACTGCATATATTCTTCTTAGTGGTTAATTGCTGTACAAGATGCAGACTTGTGATCCTATTTACAAACACCATTAGAACAAATCATTCTACTCATTAAGAGAATGCAACTATATATCTATCCCAACCTCTTTGAATACACAGATACAAAATGGACATTCATTGGTATACCCCATGCTTCCCACATTTTCAAAGGCCATAAACATGCTTTTTCTTTCATTGGGCTGTTAAATAGCCTTGTAAGGTTTCCAGTTCTGCAGACTTTCATGTACTCCCAGAAGCTGAATGTCTACCTGCTGCTGAGATAACACATGGGAGCAGAAGTGGGGCTGTGCCTGCAATAAGGCTTGGTGATGAAAAGTCTGCTTCAGCACAGTCCAAAACAATTATGAATCAGGATTCTTGTGTTCACTCCTCCTTCCCTGGGTGATAAGCCCTGGTCACAGACAAGTGGGAATTAAATTGCAGCATGCCCAGTGCTATGCAGGGAACAGTTTCATTGTATCCCTTTTATTCTGTTTTTTGTGCGGTTTGTTGTTGTTGTTGTTGTTGTTGTTGTTGTTGTTGTTGTTTTAAATAAAGCCTGTGCTTCTCGGGGCCAGGAGAGTTCTTCAGGTTTAAACACCATCCTCCACAGTTGAAGCAGAAGGAATAGGAAAGGAGAGATTCTAAGAACTTGTGATGCTCCCCAGTGAGTTCCTAGCACCTCTCGTCACGCCTTTGGTGGGAAGCTCGTGTTCATGAAAGCTTGTGGGCAGGCGGAGCAGAGTCTGGGCTGGCAGGGGCTGCGGCGATCACGTGGCTGTCACCCCAGGGGCTGTGCCAAGTTGGTCCACACTCTGGCTGCCCCCAAGAACATGTGCATTTGTGCTGGGCCCCCACAATGCAAGTGGCACTTAAAAAACTGCCCAGAGTGTCTATTTCGCTTTCTCAGAATGAGTATCTGATCTGTTGCGTATCTCAGAGCTCTGTTACAGCCAGCAGCTAGCAGAGGCAGCATCACCCGGAGCTCACTGGAAACGCAGATCTGCTGTTGGTGTCTGGGGAAGGGAGCCCAGGGATCCGCACCTTCACCATCCCTGTCCATGCCTTTGCTGCATGTTCTGGCCTGGAAGCCACGTGACAGGGGAGCATAGGCCAACAGGTGCTGAAGCAGATGTGCTTCTCCTAGTGTTCGAACTTGGTGGCCAAGAAAGAGGAGGAAGAGTTTTATTTACCCAGTGTCCTGCTTCCCAGATTGCCTGGGGAACCATATTCTTACCAGCAGAGCGATAGCAGGGTGATGCTCCAGGTGTTGCTAAGCAGCTGTGCTCCGCCAGTAGGTCCCTAAGTCAAGGCCCCAGGAGGATGGTGCTGGAGCAGGATGCTAACTCAAATCCATCATTAAAATATCTGAGCCACTGACCCTGGCAGAAGCCAAGTCCCCAGTGCCTTTATTCATGGAGCTGGGAGGGAGACCCTGGCCCATGCATTGCAAAAAGCTGCAGGGCATCTTTGTGCAGATGGGCTGTGAAGCACAGGGTTACAGTCTCAGCTAGCAATTCACTCACTACACCTAGAGTCTCACTAAAAGGCAGATTGTGCATTGAGTCTATGATGGTGCCACCACTCCTGCTGTCTCTAGCTCCATTTCCACCTCCATCTGCTTCCCCATCTCCATCTCCACCCCCATCATCTCTATCTCTCTCAGTGCTGGAGAAGGGACCAAGGGTCTCATGTGTGCTGGGCAAATGTGCTGCTTCAGGGCCCATCCTGCAGCCCTGCATTTCTAAGAAGTTGCTCTCCAGGATGCAGGTGCTGCTGGTCGGATGAACAGAGAGAGGAGCAAGGATCTGTGTCCAAGATGGAAAGAGTGAGAAGGAGGTGTTCAATGGGCTACTTAGCAATCAGACTGTCCTGTTCTTACCCAACCTGCCCACCTGACTTGGTCACAGCAAGAGCAAACTGACTACAAAAGTTGGAAGAAAACATAATGCCTTTAATTACAGGCTACAACTTCAGAAACAAAAGGCTTTAAAATTACAATGAACAAACAAACAAGAAAAAGAACACTGAAGGTTTAGAATATCAACAGCAGCCATTGGAAATAGAGAGGGGATACCTCCACAAACACATTTTGAGCTTCAGTGCATAGCAGACATTTCTGAACATGTTAAAATGTCTGTAAAGTATAAGCCTCAGTCAAAGTGGTCAGTTTTCCAATAGAGAAGACACCCCATGCCATGGGGTAAATCCCCCAACTAGAACTAAGCCAAGCCCCTCTATAGGTGAGCTGCAGCTCAAGGAAGTCAAGGACCTCATCCATACTCTCACGAGCAGGGCTAAGGGTTACTTCACTTGGCTTCAGCACAGGGTCCTTCTAAAGAACATGCAAGTTCCCACATTAAGTGACATGGCAGAGTTAACTAAGGTGTTTGGAGAGTGTGTTCCTAGATCTCCGTGAGGGCAAAGGTTTGAAAGTGAAAGTGCTGGCAGTTAAGAGAAGACATGTGTGGCAGGTTCAGAACCAGGTGCGGTGAGCCCCAAGTCAAAGACAGATTTCTACCCACGGAGGAAAAGCCTGTGAGCTCTCTCTCTCTCTCTCTCTGGATTGTGACACTTTTCCCAGGAAAGACCTATGGCCAAGCAAGTTTGATATTTGGAGTTGAAGGACAGTGAGAAGGTGGCAAAGGCAACTTCTCTCCCCAGTGGAAGTTGGTCTGTGAGTGTGTCCCAGTCATTGGTGTATCTCAGTGATTTGGGTACAATCATGGGACCAGGCCAGAGTGGTTATGCTGTTTCTGTTGTCATACATAAATTCCAAATGAACTTTTAACAGCTAAATATATCTGCCTAGAGAGGGCAGTGTTAGGGCATTGTTATCCTCATTCTCTCAAGCACAGTGTAGGAATTAGTGTTAGATCTCTGTATGGAAGATGGAAAAAGAAATCCTATAGTTGAGGGTCACCAGACATAAACATGGCACATGTAGGCAGTCGCCTGGGGAAGCTCTGGTTATCTTAATTTGATGCATTAGAGGTTCATGATCTTTCCATGTGTGTAAGCGATGGTGGCGATTAGCAACAAGAGTTCTGAGACCAGGCGGGATGGAGGTGAATCCATAGCTGCCATGTTTTAGCAGCACAGCCTTGAGGTTCAGTTTCTTCATCTATAAAATAAGGGTGATTCTATAAAATTGATTCTGAGGTACCTCTGGGCTTGTCATGAGGACTACATGATCTTGAGCATGCAGAATATATGGAAAGTTGCTGGACCAAAGTAAAATGTTCAGGAAACGCTAGTGGGTACCACGGTGGTGGTGGTGGTGGTGGTGGTGGTGGTGGTGCTGGTTCATATGTCTCTGTTTATCTCCAAGAAGAGATTAGGGTCATGTGTGGGACGCTTCAGAATCAAACTGTAGTTTTTCACGTTGTCGAGTGCAACACAAGTATTTCATTAAGAAAATAAGCTTGATTAATGTCTTTTCTTAAAACAGAAGAACAGACAAAGCAAAGCAACAAACAAACCACAGCAACAAGACCAGAAACGACTGTTCAGAAATACAAGTGGCACTCAAAATGGAGGTAAAACCGCCGCCCGGTCGCCCCCAGCCCGA